CCCCCCCCCTTGGGGCCCACATAACAAAATTAATACCCTTTTTTCCCCTTTTGGTTACCCCCAGGGTTGGGGGGAGTTCTCCGGGTGGGGGTTTTTTTCTCCCCAATGGACCCAGGTTTGTTTAGCCCCTTTTTTGGTTTTTTTTGCCCATTCCCAGAAACCCAGCCTACATGTTCGCCCTTCCCCCAGAGGAGAGGAGGTGGGGAGGAAAACCATTTTAACCATTGGGCCCCCCCCCCCCTTGTTTTAAACCTGGGGCCTTCTTGTTTTTTGTTACTTCTTCGCAAAGTGTAGGTGTGCCCTGGGGGCCGGGGGTTGGGTTTTTTTTTTTTTCAGTTCGGCCCCCCCCCAGGGGTTTTGGGTCGGGAGGGGGGGTTTTTTTGGCCCGGGTGCCCCCCGGGGGGGGGGGGGGGGGGGGGGGGCTCATGCGCCGCGGCGTTGAGAGTAGTGGTGTCCAGCTTACGCTGACGGTCGTATCATGCACCGCACCGCACCTTACCCCACCGTGGTATCACATACCATTTTGCACCAACCGCACCGCCGTGCGGTGCCGTGCCATCATACCGCACCCCAACTTTACCGTACCGTATTATTGTACCATTCTGTGCCGCGCCGCGCCTCCGCCACCCCCGCCACCCCTTCCCCCCGACCCCTCCCGCGTGCGCACGCCTCAGCCACGGACACCTGCTGGCCTCGATGCTCCTCCGCGTCGTCCGCTCCAGCCTTGGAACCACGGCCTTGCCGATGGCCACGGCGGACGCCCTCCACACGCACACCACGGCGCTCCCCTCGCCCCTCCCTGAGAGTCAAGGAGAGGGCGTTCTCAAGTGGCGAGACGACGGGAGCGATGCCGGCAACGGCGGCGCAGACGTCGCCGTTGGCGCCGCGGCGGCTGCTGCGGCTTGTGCCGCCGGGAGGCACGGCGGTGGTGACGGACAAGACGGGGTCACGGACGCTGGGAACGGTGGGGGTGGGGGTGCCGGGGGTGTTCGGCCGGAGGAGACACGACAGCGGCGGGGGGGTTCTTGCTCTCCACGAAGGGGAATGCCTCGTTCGGCAGAAGAAGAAGAAGAAGAAGAAGGTGGTGGTGGTGGTGGTGGTGGTGACGCCGGTGCCGAGGGAGGTATTGACCGTGCAGCCGGCACGGCCGCTGCTGTTGGTGCAGCTGCTGCTGCTGCGGTTGCTGCTGATGGTGCTGCTGGTGTTGCTGACTCTGATGCTGATGCTGCTGCTGCTACTGACGCTGCTAAGGCTACTGCTGCTGCTGCTGCTGACGCTGCGGGTGCTACTACGGCTGTGGATGCTGCTACTGCTTCTACGGATGCTACTGCTGACGCTGCGGATGCTCCTACTGCTGCCGGCGCCGACGCTCGCAGCGGCGGCGATGATGAAACACCAGGGCATGGCGAAGACCGGCCAGACGTACCGGCGGGTGCCAAGACCGGGGCCGACGCGGCTCCGCCGGGTGCCGGGGTGGATTGGGGTGGGAGCGGAGGCGTTACTACGGTGCCGCAGGCGCGTCCCACTCCCCCTCAGGGCCCGTTCCTGGAGGCGCACCTACCCTGGGGAAAGAGGAGGAGAATGTCGGGGAATCTGCGTTTGAAGATCTCTGGCGGGGGACGGGTGGCCAGGCGAGTGGCGACTTCGGGGGGGGGAGAGGGGGGGGGGTACTCTTATGTTTTGCATGCCTTAGCGGTTAGAGCATTGCCCTCGCATCCCTACAAAGCCGGGACGGAGCACGCCGGGTTTTCACCGGACCAGGCTAGTACATCACCAAGCCCGAAGCGCCGGGGGCGGGGGGGGGGGTTCGTGATTGACAAAATTGGGCGCGTTACAGGGGGCGGGTGTGCTGCACACTAGGCCCGCAGTGACCGAAAAAAGAAAGTTGCGTGAAAATAAAGCAAAGATCGATCGTATCGTATTGTTCATGAGCGTGTCGCTTCTCCGGTGCGCTTGGTCTTGTCGCGGGACGTACTGTACCGTGGCGCCCCGTGGCACGTCTTGACATCGCCACCTAGTGTTCTACACTTCCATACGTACAAAATGTAATAGGGCACATGTATGCATGTTGTTTTGTGTGTGGTTGGCCCCTTGCCGTCGAGCAGGCAGGTGTTCTGCGCCGCGGAAGGTAGAGAGCTGGTCGTGTACGACGCGGAGAGCGATTCGAATGCCGGACTGCCGCCGCGCGCGAGGTACCTCGTGATGGGGGTGCGTGCCCTCAAGACCGGCCCCAACGCAGCGGAACTGGAGGTGAGAAGACGGAGAACCGGCATATGCACAGGCGTTTGCCAAATGGTTCGCCAAGCAAAAGATGAAACGTGCTTTGCCTTTGTGTGTGTGTGTGTGTGTGTGTGTGTGGACGTAAGGAGAGGGAGAATACTCGGGCTTGCCGTACGATTCGCTAAGCAAAGACGGCACATGCTTTGCTTTGTGTGTGTGTGTGATTTAGATATGTCCATTGTCTGTTCTTGTTGGTGTTCCTATTGTAGACCGTCGCTCGCAGAGTAGTTTTGCCTCTTGCACCCTTCGGCCTTGCCTCTCTGAAGCCGTACGTCCCACAACGTCTAAAGCAGGATAGCAATGCGTGCGGCATAGACGGACAGCAACAACAAAGGCCGAACGATTCCATACCTTAGAATACCGCGTGTTTGATTGATTCACCTAGTACACACACATACATACAATACATAAAAAAATGAGCCGGGGGGGGGCGTCGTGGGACTAAAAAATGTCAATATTCGATGATACTCAAGCAGGTGACTGTTGCCGACGAGTCGGAGGTGTCGAGCCTCGGCTGGAGGGAGCGCGCTTCGACGGGCCCGGGCGTCGCGTTCGTGGAGACCCGGTCGGTGACCCTCACGGCCTACGGACGGCACGAGCACGCGCGGTGGTCGCTAGCTCTGGAAGAGGCGCAGAGCTGGACGGAGAAGAAAGAAAGAGAGGTGGGCGTTTGGTGGAGTGCGGCGTGAGGAGGGGGGGGGCTGTCTCTTGCTTGCCGGGTAGGGTTGTGAGTGCAAGCCGTTTTGAGCCTAAGGAACAAGACTATTGAGTTGGCCCTAGCTCCGCAGGGCCCACCCACCCCCCCAAAAAAGAAGAGAAACCATGAAATCCGTCTCTTTCTCTCTCTCTCTCTCTGCGCGACAGGCGTTACTGGAAGAGCTGGAGCTTAGCCTTCCGTTCCGCGAGTACGCAATTGAGCACGTGCACCATCGCTTGCCAGACTCGGCAATCGAGGATATTCTTGGGGTGTCCACCGCCATGACCAACCCCGGATGCGTGCTGAAGGTGCTTCTTGTGCTCTTGCTTCGCGCGGAGGGAGGCCCCTTTGCGTTGTGTGCGCTTGCCGCCTCTCTCCACCTGAGGCTGGTGTAACGCGTGTGTCTGTTCGACCCACAGAGTTTGACTTCGAGGTTTTGACCAAATGTTGTCGTGCGGGAGGTATAGTCACAAAGGCTGCAGGTTTGGCAGCGAAAAGAGGACCTGAGTTGGCGTGGCCAGTGTGGCGTGGCATATCTTAGAGGCTAACACCGGGCTTGTGCACATCAGATACCTGCATTTCTTCAAACCAACCTTCCGTTTTCTTGTGCGTTGAAGAAAGGTTCTATCGAGGTGTCTCTCTTTTTTGCAGGTTTGGTGCATTTTTTTCTCCTTCCTTCACGCCAGACCCACACAACCTCGCGTTCGTGCGCATCACAACAGAGCGTGGTGTTCGATGCCGCCGAAGCGGCAGCATCGGCAGCAGCAGCAGCAGCAGCAGCACTGGGACCCCTGAGCTCTCCGGAGCTGACGGCGGGAAGCGGCGGCGACGGCGGTAGCACTAGGAAGCTCACCGTTGCGCCGAGTGCCTCGCTGCGCGGCCTGCTCTCCTTCTTCGAGTCTTCGGCCCGATCCCCGCCACCCCCTCCTCCTGGCGACGACACAAGCTTCGGAGAGTGCGCCTCAGCCGGCGGCAGCGGCTCCAGGCGGCGCTGGGGGGGAGGGCGCAGGAAAAAAAAGCAGCAAGGCGGCCGGTCCCGCCGGCGGCGTGGAGCAAGCCGGGGGGAGTCGCCGCTCTCGTCGCGGCACGGCCGCGGCGGCGGCGGCGGCCCTGCGAGGCGGCGGTCCGGGAGCACCGGGGACGTTGTCGACGACTTGGGGAGCCCGGGGGGGGGGCGGCGGCATTCCGTGGTGATCGTCGACGGCGGCGGCGGTGGAGGAGGCTTGACGGCGCCCTCGTTCAGCGCTAGCGCGGGCGCGGCGGCGCGCGCGGGCGCGGGCGGCGGGGTTGTGGACAGCGTCTTTGTCGGGGGGGGGCACGTGCTTTGCCGCGCTCGTTCTAGGTGAGCGTTTCGGACGGTTAAGTTTTTTTTTTTTGGGGGGGGGGGGGTTGTTCGGTCCAACAGCAGTAGGAGTGTCGTTTCAAGACGTGGCTCTCTCGATCTCGATCTCGATCGTGGTAAGAGGAGCAGCGACAAGCACGAGCATCCTGCTTGTAAGCTTGCCGATTTCTTTGTTGCCATGTGGAATAGCTATTAATAGCTGCGTTACACCTCTGTACGTTGCGGTAGTGTGTACCTTATTTTCTTTGTGGACTTCGGAATTGGTCGTACCGGCAGCGAAGAGGCTTTGTTTGACACCCTTCTTTCGTCCCTGCCATCCGTCTTGGCCGTCTCCAGTGAGCAAGGTTAGATAGTAGATAGTCTACTTCTATAGAGGGACGGGCTCGCGGTGGCGGTCAGCCGCTCGAACGGCGGCTGCCGCTGTTCGAAACGGGAAAGATGGAGCTAAATGTCAGGCAAACCTTCCCCGGCCGCATACGCACGTGCACTGCCGACGCCGCCTTGCTTTGAAGACCCGTCAGTATGCGCAGCAAGGTTGGAGGCGACAGCAGTGAAAAAGCGCACAACACAACCAGCCGCTTACTTACGGCGGACGCGGTTGTCTCTTCTTCCAACCCGTTGTCGTGGTGTACGTATTGTGCCGTACTACTCGTCTCTGAAAAAACAAAATCGTGCGAATGTTAATACACAGCTCGGCGACCGGACCTGTCTCCGACATCTTTCACCTGGAAGCGGCGGACACTCCGGCAGCAGCGGGGGCGGCGGCGGCTGCAGCACCGGCAGCACTGGCGGCGGCGCCGACGCTGCTACGGAAGCATAGGCGCGCGCGTTTCCCCAGCCGCGAGCGGGCCGTCCTCCTCGACTTCGTCCCTGCGGCGATGCCTCTCGCTCGCGATCCCTCGGCGCAGGCGCACGCGTCGGGGACCGAGTCTTCGGCTCCGTCGACCCCGATCGGCGGCGACGGCGGCCGCTTCCGCCGCGCGAGCAGCAGCAGCTCTCGTCGGCTGGACAGCTTTCGGCCGGTGAGGGCGGCCTCGGGCTTCCAGCACCTCCTTCGGCACGGGGATAGCGGCGGCGTTGGCGGCGGCGGGACGCGACGCCTGGGTAGTGGGGGGATTTGGGCGGGAGGCGGTTGGGGGGGGGGAGGAGCACCCGGGGAAGGGCTGCTGGGGGTTCCCGCTCAGGTTAGTGGAGAGTCGATGCCTTTTTGGCACCTGGTTGGGACCGGCGGGAGTGCAACGGCGGAGTGGGACGCTCTTGGGACGGGTTCGGGGGGGTTCGAGCGGCCACTGCAGCAGAGGCAGCAGCCCCATCCGCGGCACGGTGGCGGCGGCGGCGGCATCAACCCCTACCTTGCGAGGCGAGTTTCTCTTTTTTGGTAAACGTCTAGCAAGAGAAAATGCGCGCAGAGGGACAGCAGAGCACTGGCGAAAAGCAGCCAAAGAGGTATGACAAGTGCCGTGTTTACCGTCCCGTCGAATACTTATTTTACTGTAGGTTCCACGCAACCTAAGCTACACAGCAGCCAAAGGCGCCAGCAACAGCAAACCGCAACAGGCCAGGTAAGAAGGGCTTTGTTTACGACCTTCTGAGTGTAGCATGCGAGAACCCGAGTTGTTCGCACCACCACCACCAACGCCGACAGCGGCACAGTACGCTTTCCTTGCACGTAGTCTCCACTCTCCAGCCCAGCCCACCCCAGCCCACCCCCCCACCCCCTCCCCCGACCCCTACCATTTTCCACGAAATTCGACAACAACAGACGGCCGTCGGCGTGCCCGGCCTCGGCCTCGGGCACAAAGGACTCCTCTGACTCCGCTCCTTCCGGGGGCGGCGGAGGCGGGGGGATGAGAACTGAGGACGTCCAAGTCGGCGTGGAAAGGTCTCGAGAGAGCTCCTCTACCGTTGCCGCCGCGGACAAGGCCTGGGAGCTGTGGCCCGACGACAGGCTGATGCCGCCCTTGCCGCCCAGGAAGAAGAGCTTGTGGGTCAGCAGGCCGAGCCCACGCAGATGTGCCGGCGGCGGCGGCAGCGATGATAGTTTCTCTTCGCTGGTGATCGTAAAAGGCGGGGAGGAAGGGGTCGGAGGACGCGGGGGGGGGGGCTTGAGCGTAGGCATGCCAACAGCAAGCGGCAGCGATGGCGCTTGCGGCCGCCCCTCGGATGGCCAGGTCGGGATTCTCTCGGGCTCGCCGGGCCCTAGCGCCTGCGAGGGGGAGGAAGCGGCTGCGGCGGCGGTGGTGGCGGCGGCGGCGAAGCCTGCCGAGGCCACGGAACCATCCTCGCATGAAGCTGAAGCTGCCGAGGCCACGGAACCTTCCACGGAAGTAGCCGAGCAACCTGCCGACGTCACGGAACCTTCTACTCAGGAAGCGGAACCTGCCGAGGGCGCGGAACCTTCTACTCAAGAAACGGGATCTGCCGAGGCCGCGGAGCCTTCCACACAAGAAGTGGAACCTTCGGAGCCCGCGGAACCCTCCACGAAGGCAGCGGAACCTTCCGAGGTCGCGGAACCTTCCACGAAAGTAGCGGAATCTGCCGAGGCCACGGCACCTTCCACGCAGGGGGTGGAACCTTCCGAGCCCGCGGAACCCTCCACAAGAGCAGCGGAACCTTCCGAGGTCGCGGAACCTTCCACGAAAGTAGAGGAATCTGCCGAGGCCACAGAGCCTTCCACGCAGGGAATGGAACCTTCCGAGCCCGCGGAACCCTCCACGAAAGCCTCGGAACACGTGGGATCGGCGCGGCTGGCGGGTTTTGCCATGGGAATCGATGGGGAGGTCGACAGCGCTACCCTTGAGGTGAGCGTTTGGCGAAGATAAATTTAGCCGCACATACATAGCGTGGGACCGGGGGTAAGCCTGCCAGACTGTTCCAGGAAACAGGGGTACCGCGATGGGGCCGGAGTCATGGGGGGGGTGCGGAGGGGGTGGGTGTGATAACTGTGTGTGCCCACGAGCCACAGGCTATTGAAAAGGGTGGAGGTGGGGGAGACGAGGCGACGACGGAGCAAAGGGAGGAATAACTTTTGATGGATGACGCCGTTCCTGTCGTGTGGAGGTCGTACATACTGCCGTATGCATAGGTGTTGAGTGCGTTGAGGCCGATGTGAGACAGATGCCGTGTGCTGCTGTGATGTATGTTGTATTGTATGCAGCTTGCTCCCCGTCCCTGGCGGGGGAAAAGCAAGGCAGAGAGCACCTTGTTCCAAAACTCTGACTGAGGTGCCATCTCTCCCCCCCCCCCCCTCTCTGTCTCTCTGCATCATTTCTCGCCCCTTAACTCAAAGCCCTCCCTCTGTACGGCTGTGCCTTTACACTTCCTTCCTGCCCCTCTGCGCCAGGTGATGAGCCAACTTGCTGGTTGCGTCGCCTCCGGTACCAGCCGCTTTACCATCGCGGGAGTTACGCCGGAACAACAGGAGCAGAAACGGCAGCAGAAGCAGAAGCAGAAGCAGAAGCAGAAGCAGAAGCAGCAGCAGCAAGACCAACAGCAGCAGCAGCGGCAACCCTCTCGCGATGGCAACAAAGGTAGCGATGACGAGGACGCCGACGATAGCGGAGGGGGTATCTGCCCACCGCCGGAAATCCGTTCTCTATCAGGCAGGTACCGCTGAGAAAAAAGGGGGGGGCACGCCCGTGTCTAGCGGGAAATTGGCACAGCAAGCAGCCCTGCAGGCCTTTTGTGTGTTTTCATTGCTGGTTGTCCTGTCTGTTTGCCCTTCGTAGTTTTTCGGAGTATGTGTGCGTGTTGTAGTTTGTCTTGACATTACACGATAAAACCGTTGTGTGTCGTGAATTTTTTTGTTGTGTTTTATTTTCTCCTCCTCGTGTGTGCTTGGCTCTTGGAGGTGCCAATGGCAGTGAGATGTGAGATATCGCTTGTAGCGGCTGAATTCTCTTGATAGAGAGGGGCAAAGGAGTTGCAGGATCCGAAGGAACGAACTAACAAAGGTTTCTCTGCACGTTGTCACAAGGGCAGCCGACACGATGCTAGTGGCCTCCTGTTCGACGCAACTATATAGAAGGTTCTTCTAACACAACACCAAAACGTTTTCGTTTTTTTTTGTTATGTTTTCTAGCGTAGGATAAGAGAAACCCTGCCTTTCGGTTTCGTTCGCAGCCTGGGTGGTGGCTTGCATGTTGTGAGACTTAAGCATGTCGTGGGATTGCGTATCGAGACTTAGAATGTCGTGGGAGTAGCAGCGGAACAATCCGCGAGTAAACTGTTGTATCTACCACGGTAGTGTTGGCTGTCCAAACAAGGTTTTCTGGCTTTTTCTTGCGCTGTTTGGAGTACTTTACCCTGGTGTTGGCTATTGTATGTATCCGAACAAGGTTTTCTGGCTCTTGCTTCCGCAGGTTGTTGTGTTTGTAATTAGCTGGAAGGATTTAAGAGGAAGTTGGCCTGTCGGAGGTGCGGTGAGATGGGGGCAAAGTCGAAGGCATGACCGTTGTCGGTGGATGGTAAAACATCCACCCTCGCGCGTACGCCGGTAAAATAGCAGCAAGAACAGCAATACCTTTGCGGATTGGTTTGTCTCTTGCGTTTTTTTTGTTTTTTTTGTGGGAGAGAATGGTCGTTTTCAGCGGGAGAGAAAGAAGAGGAGAAAACCCAATACTCTTGTCTGTGCTTTCGTTACCTACCGTAGGCAGAAGTGGTTCCAGCAGAAAGTCTCCGCTAGAAATACACCTCGATTGATCGGAGCAAAGAGCGACGAATATGACACTCATGTGTGGGGCGCATGGTCATGGAATACCGAGTTGATTTTCGGTTCCAAGGGTTGTAAGGTATATTGTATGTACATTTGGTGGCCTGCCTTTGCCCACCGGGTTTTTGCTTTTTTTGCTGTTTCGCAATAAGGAGCGCGCGCTTCTATTGTAGCGGTATCGCGCTTGCTAGTTTTGAGTCTAGCAAGCCGATGTCTCGTCTGTTGTCGTCCGTACTGATGTCGGTGTGTCTTGGTGTGCCGCGCAGTTACAGTACAGTAGCTTCGGAATTGCGCCGGTCCCGTTGGGTTTCTTGTTCATGATTCTGGAGCTTATTATGAGGTGCGTTTGTTGCCGTCCGTCTATACTACAGTACGTTTGTCTTGGTCTTGTTTCTCACATTTGTCTCCATCTTTTTTTCTCACATTTTCTTGGTCTCGTTTCTCACAAATCGCACCATATGTACAACGTTAACACACACTACACGGCAGTATTTTTATACTATTACCACTCAATGCATGCAGCGTGAAGTACAGTACCACCACACCGGTTGGTCGGAGGTATGTATGTCTTTTTGTCGTCAATGGTAAAAAATGGGGATCCTGGAGCAGGTTCACCTCTTT